CCTCACCTGGATTGTGTCACTCAAGAGAAAGCATTCCACTGAATGGCCTGATGTCAGAGCTGGAAAAGGCCTGGGGTCAGTTGGAGAAAGTCCCCAGTTGACAGGTCCAGAGGACGAAGGGCATTATCTAGCACCACGTGTTCAATGAGAGGCAGAACCCTGATGGTCGGCCCCTGCTCTCCAGTTCGGTGGCTGTCTGGCCATGCCTTGTGACTGAGCACTGCTCCAGAACAGGGCATAGTAAATGGGCACCTGGAGACCCAACAGGGGTGTTGCTGTCAGCCCAGGCCCCCTCGGCTCTCCCCTGGATGTCTCTCTCCTGCACCCATGCAGTTTGTTTCTCTTCTTTTGGCAAAGGGAGGAAATGACCGCTCTGGACGGGAGTAGTGGATGAAGTGCTCCGGGAGTGCTGACATTAAATTCCCATTGTGGGGGAAAAGTGGCCATAAAGAGTATTGGGACAACTGACAAAAACTGAATATAGACTGTGAATTAAGTAACGGTATTAGTTCAATGCTAATGTCCTGACTGTAATAATTGCCCCATGGTTATGTTCTTAGGAGATACACAATGAGATACTTAAAAGTCAAAGGCATGATGTCTCTAGTTTATTCATATATGGTATATATACGTCTGTGTGTGTGTGTGTGTGTGTATATATATATATATAAAATGGTGACTATATAAATGAGTGAATGACAGAACAGAAAATGTAAATAATTGATGGATCTAAGAAGGGTATGTAAATTTCTTGCAAATATTCTTGCAACTTTTCTGTAAATTTGAAATTATATCAAATTAAAGTTATTTTAAAAAGTCCTATTGAGACACATACAGCAAATGTCCTGCCAGGTCTCAAGATGCAGGGAAGCAGACCAGCTGCCACCCTCCTTCTCCCCTCAGCCCAAATGGCAATCAGACTCCTGTACCCCTGGTGGGCAGGGGAAGCACTGCCCGGGCCTGTGCGGACAGCGCAAAGTGTGGCCTGAGCCTAAGGCAAGGTACAGTGTGCTGTGGAAGGAATGTGGATCAGGGGCCCTCACAGTTCCACATTATTAGCTGTGAGACCCTGGGCAGGACGATTTAGTTCTCTGAGGCTCAGTTTTGCTCGTCTGTGAAATGGGAACAACTATTTGCAGCTCAGTGAAATGAGACCTGCTTGATGTGACCTGCTGATACCTGCCACCCAGGGGCTCAGCTAACTCCTGTGTGATGGGCAGATGAGCCCGAGGCAGGTGTCCTCACAACACCCATTCTAGCATCTGTGCATCGTCTCCGTCCAGGCCCCCCAACAGCGTTATCACATCCCTCTTCAACCAAACCACACCCCTCTCCTCCTTCATAACCTGACCCAGATTTTCCTCATCTTGAAATCTTCCTAAATTACTCCCCTAACCACGCCCCCCTGCCCCGCCACCACTCCTGTACCAGTAAGATGGTGTCTGGCAGGTCAACTTGCACTTCTGTAGCTTTCTCTCATCCAGCCCCCTGGGCTGGGGCAGATTGACTGGCTCCTCCCACCCGCTCCTCAGCACTGGGCAGCGCCAGAAGCCCCAGGGGCTCTCAGGCCCAGGTGGGGAGGAGCGCAGCCCCCCTCACTCCTGGCGGCTTGCTCACAAGGACTGAGCATTCGAGCTGTGGGTGAGGAGGGTGCAGAGAGGGATCTGGCCATGATCTGCTTGACACAAGAAAACGACTTGGCCTTCCCTCGGTCACTGGCAGGAAAGATGGATTTCCTGGTTAGATTAGGTACTTCCCAGCCCTTGACAAAAATGAACACATGTCCACAGCCAGACCATCAGGGACACGAGACTCTGGGCTTTCTCACGGAAGCAGTGATGCCTGGGACTGGGGATGGCAAGGCTAAGAGAAAAAGGCAACCTGCAGAGGTGAACAGATTGCATGATGTATTTACATATGTAAAAGTAAATACACAGAAAAAAAAATAACTGGATATATTTGAGGAGGTGAGCGGAACTGGGGGTAAATGAAAGAGGGCTTTCACGTTGAACATGGTATATTTCTATACTGTTGAGAATGTTTAAAGAATGCAATCATATTCAACTTACATAAGTAATAAATATTACAAACTATCCTAAAAGTGAAAAAAGAATTGAGGATGCAGACCTAAAAGACACCCCCTCACTCCCTATGCCTGGACAGCTGCCTTCTCAGGACCCTCCTGGGGGCGGAGGCCCATGGTGCCCTGTGGGCCCAGGGAGCTCTGCAGGTCTCTGTGGGACATGAGCACATGTGTGTACATGGTGGAGGGCAGCCACCCTGCTGATGCTCTCAGTGCCCCCCTGAGGGTAACAGGCTGGGGAGATGGGAGCTGGGTGGGTGGGCCGGCAGAGGGATTCAAAGTAGCCATTAGTGTACACACCCCTTCACTCCTCTGGAGGTAAGACATCTGTCTGTAACTCCAACGTGAAATCCCCCTCCAGTAGACAAGTAGTGTCTGCCGCGTTAACCCAGTCTTGAACGTGTTGTTTGCTGTGGAGTTTAATGCCTTCTGCCAGCCCTGTCCCTTCTGGAGTGATACTGCTAACTAAGCCTGTTCCCCACTCCTTCTGGAGGGGTCAGAACTGTGGCTTCCAGCCCCACACTGCAGAACGTCTTGCTTCACCCTTAAAGAGTGAAGGTAGGCGGGCAGGTAGGTGATGGAGATATTTTTTGGACCCGGGCACAAGTGGCTCCGAGGCAGCTCCACACTGAACGGAGGCCAGAGACGAGCCCTCTCTCCTCTCCAGACCAGCAGCGCAGGGGCACCAGGCCTCCCTCTGGGACAGCTGGTTTCCAGCCTGACTCCTGGAACACTGGCTTGGCCCGGGAGCTTCAATAAAGGCAGAAGCCTGTATCCCGCCCCTAGAGAGTCTGATTTAACTAGTCTGGGGAGCAGCCCAGGTGGTGGAGTTTAAAAGTTCCCCCCCCATGGCTCTAATGTGCTGCCAGGGTTGAGAGCCCCTACCCTAGAACTGGATGGTGACCACCTGAGCGGGGTTTTCTACAGCCTTCTCTTCTCCAGGGCAGAGCAACCAAGTCCCACGTCTGTTCAGTGTCTCCAGCTTTTGTCCATCATAACTCTCCCCTGATCCCACCTCACTTCCCACAGGATCTCACTAGAATGAGGGTACAGAGCTGAGGACAGGGAGCTGCTGACCTCCCAGCTCAAACCCTACATGCTCCTGCTTCTACCCCCAGGGGAGGTGAGCTGTGTTTCTGGGGAGTGATCAGACCCTTAAATCACAATCACATGTAGCTCTTCTAAGATCCCATTTTCCCATAACTAACAGAGCATGGGGTCAAGGAATCCTTTTGGAAAAGAAAATCATCAAACCATTCTTACTAGGTTTTTCTTAGAATTATCTATGCATTTCCAGCAACCTTGTAAATATCCACTCTTGATAATCTGAGGCTCCCCACTTTGGTTAGATATCCATTAGAAATTATAACTCCAATTTGGCTGGCCTGGCATCCTGAAGGCTGCACACCCCCCTGATGGCCTGGCTGGTATATGAAAAGGAAGCCAACCTCAGTATAAAGAAGGCAGATATGTAGCTCTGCAAAGAAGAGAATAAAACTAAGTCATAGAACACTGCCTTGTATGGAAAAAAGAGAAGTAGCCTTTGAATTAATCAAGCTCAATCACCTTCCCTTATTAGTATGGGTAATTAAGAGCTTGTTTTATTGTTCGGGTTTTTTTTAAACAAAGTGTATGTTGGGAATGTTCAAGCAACTCCACACCCTCTGTTAAAATTGGGGGTCTCAAAACACAGCTCTAACAGAATCAGTCCAATAATTAATCAGTCAGGAAGCCAGGACTGTCTATGACTTCAGGGTGTTTAAGTACTTTCATCTTCATGGGCCCCTTCCTCCATTAAAAAAAAAATCTATATCTGTATCTGTCTATCTACGTGTACACACACAAATTATATTATACAGCCATCTTGGTATAAACATGAATATACTAGTATTATGAATCAAGACATTTTCTTTGACCTAAAAGTTACTTTTTTTCTTCCAATTTTATAAGATATTAAAATATTTCTGTGGGCCTGTGAAAGCCTTGTGGGTGTTCAGCACTATGTGTAATAAATAGCTAAGTGGGCACTGGGGGAAGGGGAAGCTGAGACCCGGAAAGAGGGAGGCAGTTGTGCAGTCACAGGAGGAGCGCCTTCCCCACTAGGCTCTTAGTGCGTCTTGAGTCTGGGAGATCCTGTAAAGGCCTTCCAACTGCAAGGCAGAGCACGGCCATCCTGGCAGGGGAGGCTGAGCAGGCCCAGCAGAGGCCCTCAGGGAACTTACAAAGGAGGGAGGAAGAGGGTGGCCCTCACCATGACTCTGGGAAGAGGACGGCCAGTGGCAGCAGGAGGTGCTGAGCGCCCTGGGTGCGCCCGAGGGAGGAGTTACCTTTCAGCTGGAGCAAAGACAAACTCCGGGGTGAGATGGCTTTTCAGTGGGAGTTGGTCCCATGGAGAGAGGTGCCAGGGTGAAGGCAGGAACAGAAGGAATGCTCAGTGCACACTGAGGTCAATGCACATCTGACTTGAGTATAAACTAGGAAGGAGTGAAGGGTGGGGGCAGCACTGGGAAAGACAGGCCAGGCCAGTGTCAGAACATGTGGGCACGACTGTGGCAGATGTGCCCGGGCAGCGACGTGGGCAGGGTTCTCTCGCATGGAAGAGGTAGGTTCTGAGGCAGCGGGGCCCTCCAGCTGGGAGGGATTAGGAGAAGCTCTCACAGGGGTTGTGGGGAGAAGAAGGGCTTGAATGAGGCTGACAGTGGCTGTGATATGCGACCCCACTCAGGCTGCGGAGCGGTTGGGGAGAGGTGGGCGGGGTGTGGAGAGACCACTCTCCAGGAGTTGCCAGTCCTCTGGGTGAGGGCAGGAGCCAGGCTCCGAGGGGCTCCGGCATGGAAGCAGGGGGCCCCCAGCGCCCACCCTGAGTGCTGGGGTTGCCTCCCCTGCCCCTGTCTGGAAAAGCTGAACAAGTACTTACTTTCTGTTCCTAGCACGGGAGGAAGAGAGCTCTTGGGCCTGCGGACTTTCACCTCCGAGGCCTTGGCATTCTGACTGGTGGGCGCATCTGGAACACAACAGGTGACAACACACCTTAGTGGGCAGTGAGCAGAGGAGGCATCTCAGTAAAAATCCCACCTCAACCACGGTGATAGCCCTCCTCCTCCCCACTCCAGTCTGAGGGCCCTGGGTGCCTGCCCAGCAGACCAGATGGCACTGTGGCTGGCCAGGCACCCTCCTCAACAGGAGCACCAGAGAAGGTGCGTCCACTCCACCAGCCTTATGAGGTGGAGAGCACACGGTAGCCCTGGCAAGATGGACGGACGGGCTACCTGGGGAGCTAGTTAATGCTTTCCCCTCTGCAGCAGGCATGTTGCCAGAAATCATGTTTCTGGCAGGGCTTGGGGGTGTCAGTACCCCTCTGCTCCCCTCTCCATTTTTCCTTCACTGGGTCTTGGTTCACTAGGGCTAAATGTTCTGGATTTCCTAAAGCCTGCTCTGTGTAGCGAGGTCTCTGGTACAGAGGAAGAGGAGGGCAGGGCTCCTGCCCTGGAGCTCATGGTCTGCAGGGGGCTCTCAGCCTCTGATTTCTCAGACTTCCGGCCACAGGTGGTGCTGGCCAGTGGAGCACCAGACCAGACAAGGCCTCGAGCGGGCGGCTATAATGCCCAACCTGCTCTGGACAAGACTTGGACCCACGGTGGGGCTTCTGCACCCCTCCCCAGAGTAGGACCAGTGAATCCCTGCAGCAGCAGCCTTCCGGGCAGAACTGAACGCTACCTGGACCAGTGCATGACTACTCAGGCCTCCCCTCCCCTCTCCCTCTCCCATGTCAATGCAAAGTGTGGATAATGCCAGGGGAACCCTCCCTGTAGGGGATGCAGGCTAACATCGCCATGGGCCAGGCTGGGCTGGGCAGAAAAGGCCCTCTGGGCCCTGAGAAGACTGGGCTTTAGGAAGCTGTGGGGAAACCACCTAGGGACTCGGATAAGCAGCAGCTGCTGGATGGTCATCACTGTGCTCCAGCATTCCCCCCACGAGGAACTCTTCAGGGACCGTGCTGGGAGAGTGCCTTCCCCCAGAGTCCCTTCCTGTCCATCCTCTTCCTGATCCTGATGAGAGGAAGCTCAGAAGGAGGAAGGAGCGGGTGGGACTTTCCAGCTGAGGCTTCGGCCACATTCCTGCGGCTGGGCTGGAAGGGCCCTGTCTTTGTCCTGGGGATGGGGCAGTGGCTTTCTGCTAGCCTGGGCCCCTGGGGCTTCGAGAGCTGGGCAAGGGAGCACAGAACTAGGGGCTAGGGACATGCATTTCCCCAGCAAGTGCCTCCTGGTGCTCCCACCTGGATACACTGCTCCTGCTCCATGGCATTTGGGTCCCCTTCCTGCTCCAGAATGTGGATCTGCCCAGTTAATCTCGCTACATCAGTCCAGCTTCCTTCCCTACCTAATTGCCGTTTGCTGGGTAATGCAGGGACAGAGGCCCCAGGTGGGCATTGTTCAAGCTCACCAGCAGCTCTGAGGCACACAGCCCTCCAACTGTGGTGGTGATCCCCTCTCAGAGTCAGTCAAAAGCTGTACATGTGTAACCACAGCAATGATTGAGTGCAGGCTTTAAGCAGAACTTCCCAGCAATAAATGACAGGCGATGGGAATGAGGGAACAAAGCTGGAAGAAATCCTTTTCAGCAGCACTTGATTACTTGGTCTCCCCACCTGCCTCCCTTCCCCACCAGGTGTGACCCTTCTGCCACCTTCTGTAAGAGCAAAGGGACCCTGATGATGAGTCAGGGGTTCCCACCATCCACATCTGAACTGCTTGTGTCCTGTCTCCTCAGTGGGCCGTCAACAGACCAGGCTCCATGTGGGCAAGGATCGGGGAGCACAAAGTCCCAAGAGGAGGTGACTTCATTTTCTCACAGTGGACATTCCCCCAGGCATAATGGTTCTCAGCTACAGAAAAATCATCAGCATTTGTCAGCCTCTGTGGTTCTCCACCTTGGCTGCACATTAGAAGCACCTGTACCTAGATAGCTCACTCCCCACACCTGAGTTTAACTGGTCTGGATTGAGGCCTGGGTGTCAACAGTATCCAGAAGCTCCACAAATGATTGTCATATGTTGACAGGTAGAAAACTTCTAGTCTCTCTCCTCAGGCTGTGTGTGTGTGTGTGTATATGTGTGTGTAGAGGTGCGGATGGGGCACAGGGTGAGGCTCAGGGACAATTCCAAGAGACAGGAACACCTGAAAACCTGCCAGTGCTTCTCTTGATATTGGGGGCCAGGCCTTTGCCTGGCCCTTCCATTCTTCCCTCCCTTTAACACCAGCACTTCTGAAAGGCACTGATGACAATTTGAAGAAAGATACACCCAGAAATTTGTCTGTCTTCCTCCTTTAAATGGAAGAGGCAGAGAGGGCAAAGTATGTACAGATAGTTCAGTGTACCTTGGATTTGGCACTTAAAAAAAATCTTTCTACCAAGAAGCTCTGGGGCATCAGAGGAGAAAGACAAAGAAGGATCAGGGTGGTTTTTTTTTAACTGATGGGTAAACTGAGACATAGCAAGCAAAGGATGAGAGGCCCAGTTTTCCTGGGTTCCTGAGTGAAAAGAGACAGGACTGGGATTCCTCCTCTGCTGTGGGGTTGTGTTGGGCTTCGCTCCCAAGCACCATTAGAGTGGGGACTGAGAGAGGCGGCTTCTACTGGCCTTGTCCTCAGCAAAATTGAGATTGTGGGCAAATGATATCAACTGGCCTGAGTCTCCATTTCCACATCTGTACAAAGGGAATGATACTTTTCTGTATCTCACAGTGTTACAAGGCTCAAAGGGGAGAATGCACGCAACAGGGCTCTGCAGAGTAGAAAGACGATCATTTACCCATTAATTCACTTCCCCTGTTCATGGCATGTTCTGTCTCCTTCAAATTCTCCACCTTTAAAATTCTCCACCTTCAGAGCCTCCCCCCCGCTCCCCACCACCACGACCGGCCCTCCCTGCAGGCTCCCGCCTCTGCATCTATCCTCAGCTCCTAGGTGCTGGCTTAACACTGCCATGTGAGCACACTGCCCTGGTGTGCGTGTGCTTTGAGCCTTGTTTTCAGAAGTTCTGTGCACCTTATCTTTCCATCTGGCCATGAGGAAAGGGGCTTAAATTTCCCTTTCAAATCAGGCACACCCCCAGACTTGAAGCCCCACAGGGTGGGAGCAAGCCTCCTCTTCCCTGCGCAGCCCCCTTGGCCCACCCTATGGGGGTTGGGCATGCACTAGACCTCCGTGAGAACCGCAGCAAGGAGTGGGCTGGAGGGCCGTGAGCTTAATCAGAACCAGCTTTGGGCTCACATGGCTGCCCAGAGGATAAAAATAATAGTAATAAAAGTTTAAGAGCAGCTTGTATTTTCTGTGTGTTTCAGTCACTTTGTGATGAAACTGAACTCCGTTTCTAGATCTGGGCCCCAGGGCTGGAGTCTTGTTCTGGCCTGGTTGTGCCCCCCAAAGCATGGGAGAGGAAGATGGCAGTGTGGGGAAGCGGTGGGGTGTGGGGTGGGGTGGGGGCTCCTCACAGAGAGGGAAACGTGTCCTAATATGGGCAATGCCTGGCCCCTCCCACTGCAGGGCTAGCTCTGGGCTCAGTCCTCCAGGGCAGCACTTTGTCTTCTGTTTCCCTAAGCTCGAACTCCAGGCAGGGCAGGGGGGACAAGGTCTTGGGAGGCTGCTGGGACACGAGAAGGCAGGGCAGGGGGGCAGCAAGCAGCAAGCTGGCACACTCAGGAAACAGAGGAGCAGCTCCTTTCCGGCTCTGCTGCTTAGTGACTGAGTTCTTGGGCAAGTTCCTGAACTTTCCGCAGCCTGACTTTCTTCACTGGGAGAATGGGAATAGAAACGCCCCAACAGAGGAGTGAATGAGATGCCAAGTTAACAGCTGGCATTTATTGGGCATTTAGTTCATGCCTGGCATGATGTTAGGGGCTTTATATACTGGTTTCAGCTGAACCATCTCAGTCACCAACATTTAAGTGTTTTTGACCTAACAAAGGGGCAATTTTACTTAGTTCAACCTAAATCACCTTAGTTGCCTGTGATGATATATAGAACAAATGTGAAAGTGGGAGCAGACTTACGAGTATGGCAGGAATGAGTCCAACAAAAGCAGGGTGGGTGGAAATCAGCTCAGCCACAAAGGTGCCCAACAGCCATGGTGGCAGTGGACCACAGTGGTTAGGAGCCAATGCTTGGGTTTAAATTCCCACTTGGCTAGTTATGTGGCCTCCAGCAGGTCACTCAGTCTCTGTATGCCTTAAATCAGGCTTTTTTTTTTACTATCATTCTCCTAAACCCCCTTGTCACAGTTACAAATTACCTCCAAGTTGCTAAACCCCATGGTCAGTGCTTAAGTTCCTCTTATTCTCCTCAGCAGCAGCATTTGACACACTGATCTCCATCATTCCTTCCTTGTTGAAATGATAACCATTTGGCTTCCAGGTTGCCTTTCTGTCCTGGAATTCTTCCTGTCTTACTGTCACCAGGGTGGCCATTCCCTCACAGTCTCCTTGGCAGACTTCCGTCCTGCCCTCCGTCTCCTCCATCCACATCCACTCCTAAGGATCTCATCCACTCCTAGGGCAGTAAATGGCCTCATATGCGGATGCCTCCCCATATCCTGCTTCCATCCCTGAGCTCCCTCCCCAACTCCGGAGTCACCTAAATGCCTGCCTCTGTGACAGGCCCATTTGGATATCTAATGGACACCTTAAACTCACAGGCATCTTAAATTCATAGACAGGAAACTCTTGATTGTTCCCCACCTCCTGTATTCCGATCTCAGTAGGTGGTACCACTGGCTGATCTGTGTTCCCCTGAGAACTAAGACTCACCTTTGACCTCCCTTTCTCTCTCTCCACTTCCAAGTTATCAGCACATCCTATCAGCTCTACTGTCAAAATAGATTACGAATCTGATCCACCTCTTCTACAGAGTCTAATCTGCCATCCCGTCCTGCCTGAGCTATCTGTCCCCTCCCCTCTGGCTTCCCTGCTCTCTCTCTTCCCCATTCTGAGTCTAGCCACCACTTGTGTGACCTTCACAATGTCCAGCTATGTCCCACCACACTTAGAATAAAACCCAGTTTCAGAGCCTATGCACCCTTGATGATCTGGCCACTGGTCCTTAGCCTCATTTCCAAACCCTCTGCCCCTGGCTCGCAGCTTGGCCACCATGGCGTCCTTGCTGCTGCTTCTGAGAATGCCTCATTCGCACAGTCTCAGCTCTGGGCTTTGCTCCCACCACTGCCTCTTCCTTCCTCCTTTGGGGACTCCTCACTTCCTGCAGGCCTCTGTTCAAATGTCACTTCCTCGGACAGGCCTCTCAGCACCCCAACAACAGCATCGCACTCCCCTGCCCCCTGTTATCCTGCCTTGCTTGCTTCACTGCATGTGACATTGCCTGGGATTATAGGACACATCTGTTCACACGTACTACTGTCTCCCCTTCACTAGAATGAGAAGTTCCTCGGAACAGGAACTTCTGTTTTGTCCACTGCTTTAAACCCCAGCCCCAGGAGCAGTGCCTGCACAGAGAGGGCGCTCACATATCTGTGGAATGAATGATGGCATGGGTGTCCTCCGTGGTCACAAAGCCCTTGACTTTGCTGGTAGCTGAGGCCAGGTGCACTAGGCTGAGGTGGCTGGGGAAGGGTGACCCGAGCTGCCTGCCTTGGGATTTTGGCTTAAAAAGGGATCTGAAGGAGAAGGAATGGGTCACTCCAGCCAGATGTGCAGAAGGACTTCCCAGCAAGAAGGGCTGTCACTAAGGGAACTTGTGGAAAGTGGACACTACCAGGCCACTCACTAGACAGGGTGCCACACCAGGTCACTGAAAGGTGCAGGCTTCAGAACCAAACAAGCTCAAGTTCTAGTCCAGCCTGGGAGACTCATGTTGAAATTCCCTGTGGAAGGAGGCTCAAAAGGTGTGTGTGCATTTCAGGATTAGAGACACTCAGAGACACCACATGTTTTATGCACTACCTGTGTGACCTGGGCAGAATGTTGACCCTCTCTGAGCCTTGGTTTTCTCATTGAGAGACCTTGACCAACTGTTCCATAGACTGAAAATGTTCAAGAGTCTCTGGCCATGACAGGCACTGAAGGTCATTTTTCTCCTCCTAGGTGAGTTTTCTGGCATGTCCTTACATAAGCTAGGCTTCAGTTGCCTTCTGCTGCACTTGGAAGTGTGACCATAATCAAGAATGCACAGGAGCACCATTTTTCTTAGGGAAAAGACCCAAATAGCATGATCAAAATAGCCAGATGCGCTACAGTGTAAGGTTACCTCCCTTTGTCCTTACTAGGGGAGGGAAACAGTAGTGTGGCTAATACAGCCGATGAACCAAAGTCATTTAATGTGGTCATTATATTGACCACAGATGTATGGTCTTAATGGTATCTGGCACAGGCTGTGTGAGTGACAGCAAGGTACTGTCGGGGGCAGGGCCAGCCTGATGTCAACATGGGCTGTGCTCTCCACCCCTACTGGAGAGGGACCTCACTGCCCCTTGGGAGGGATGCAGGGCAGTCCTATCCAGACATTGAGCAGGCAGTAGTTGCAGATGGAGAGAGATCAGAAGATCCCATACAATAACTGGGCTTGGAAATTCAGTCACAGTCACTTCTGAGGGCAAGCAGTTCTTCAGTGTATTTTAATTCATGATTTCTTTTGAGTATTTGCTTTAAAACTATGGACCCTCTCTTCAGAAAAATGCTCTAATCCACAAACACAAAATTTTGCCTGTAATTCCAAAGGGTCCGTGGACCCACTGGGATCTCTAAGCAAGGTCCTGTTACCTTGGGGAGCAGGGAATGCTGCAGGGCTCAGAGGACAGAATGAGGTCAGAAAACCTATTCAGCTCAGAGGAGCATGGGGGAAAAATATGCTGAAGGCAAAGAAGAGCGGTTCAGGGGGCTGCAGTCCTTTACCGTTTGTCTACAGGTGGTTGTGGATGGACAAACAAAGCTGAATATGGCAAGGCCACCCACATGCAGGACATTAATATATCTTCAAGTATAGCTACAGGGAAAAGAGTGGGTGTGGAGGGGGCTGCCCTTTTTCTCTTTGGAATAAAACAGAACAAAACAAAACCTAATTAACTGAGAGTTAGTCCTGTTATCTCAGCTGGTTTCTTTCCATCCCTTTTCTAGCTCTTCTCCTAAAACCCAGATTCTCCTAATCTTCAGCCCGAGGAGGCCAAGCCCTGCAGAGGCCCCTTTGAAGGAACTGTAGATAAACAATGATGGTCAAGATTAGAAAGAGAAAGGGCATCTACTAGAAGGAGACCAATTTAGGGGCAAAAAAGCCCTATTAAGCTGCAGAATGAATTCCCCATATCTTAAAAAAAAAAAGAAATCCTCAATATATTCTGCAGAGGCAAAGGGAACTTTATTTTAAAAACAGTTTGGATTTAAAAATAAACAATTTGTAGTTTCTCAAAAAGGTGCTGACATTTTGCAGATAAGAAGAATGAATTGCCATTCTGCCTTCAGCTAGCCATGTAAATAGGATCTGAAGAGGCTGGAGATTCCAAAAGCAGATAACCTCACTAGCAGCCTGGGCTTCTTTACAGATGGGTTGGAACCAGCACAGGTCCCAAATGGGGGCTATTAGAAATAGCCTTCCGAGGTCAAGTTCCCAGAAACAGTCTTATTTTAACTACAGCACCTGTATAGAAGAAGCAGGCCCTGACCTGGGTGGCTGACAGCCCAGGTCACACACAGGAGAGTAATCAGCAACAGCAGCTGCTACCCTGAAACGTGTTTCAAGTCCTCCTCTGAACTAACCATATACTTTGACCCATCAAATCTGCTCCCTTAGACTCAGAGCCCCTGTGACAAACACATTCACAGAGCTCCAGGGAGACACACACAATACGATTCCAGCTTTACTGTGGCCATTGTGTGTGTTTTTTAAAAGACTTTTTAAGACTCTCTCTTCTTTTCTCTCATTCATTATGTGTCACAGATCACAGCTTTTACGATGAGGAAATAAGATTATAAAATCCAGAACGGGGACAAAGTCTACATCTCATGGAATGGAGGTGGAACAGATTAGGACTTTAGAACCCAAGTGAGCATATTCAGGAACCAGGAGAACAGCAAAACTGGTCTTCAAGATGCCTTATTTGGACACTGATTTTTAACATGTCATGAATAGGTACTAACCAGGCATTACAAAGGTAAGAAATTGTTTTCCCCAAACTATCTTTTTAGACAGTTCCAGGCAAGTAATGAAATAAGAAAGGGAACAGGATTGTGAGTCCCAAGATGGGATTCTGGCCCTGGCTCAGCCCTAAATGGCTAGGGGAACCCCAGGTGATACTTTCCCTCTGAATGGCCTCGGTTCTCTATTCTGTAAAATGAAGGTGTAGCCTAAACCATCACAGGGTTTGTTCTACTTATGCAACTAATTGTTAACTCCACAGAGAGGAGAGAGAAGTCACGGACACACTGCCGTCATTTCTTCAGTATAAATCCCAAGTCCTCCCAGCTTGGGCTTGGTGTTTCCTCAAAAGGAAGCCCCACTCGGACCGGGCAAGCCTCACTCTGTCCCCACAGGCCTCTTCCTCCCTCTGCTGTGGATGATTACTTTTCTCTTCTTGCAGAGGTGGGCCTGTCCCACGACCCGAAGTCTCAGCCCCGACTCACCTTCTGCAGAAGTCTCCCCACACGGATGCCACTCTGCTCCCGTCTCCTCCTCCCAGGCCTGTCCTGCCAGCACTGACACTTGTTTGTTGTGGCTTGTAAAATACCATGTGGTCATTTTCCTGTGGGTGTGACTTCTCTCCTTGGAGGTTTTGCATGTAGGGGTCAGGACCCGGGAGGGGAACAACAAGGTGAGCAGCCCCTCCTTCCAGCCAGGGGTGGGGCTGCAAGGCCTCATAGGGCCATCAAGTGGAGCTCCTACTCTCCTTCCTGTCTCTTTGCAAAAGATGGCTGGACACGCACAAAACTAATAGCTTCAGGTAGAGGGGGCAGCCTTGCATGCAGTTCTGTCAGGTATGGTGGGCGAGGGAGGGGATGAGAACCGGGACTCTGTGTGGCAGAGACGGGTGCATGACCTACCATCCACGGTGACTTGGCAGGAGCACTCAGCCTGGCCAGCGCCATTCTTGGCCATACACCTGTATAAGCCTCTGTCCTCGGGCAGGGCCTTCTTGATGGAGAGGGAGCACAGTGAGCCTGGGAAGGAAGAGGAAGAACTGCTGAGTGGAGCAGGTATGGGCACAGAACCTGCCCTGGCACGTGGAGCACGGCAGGTGGTGTTACTCACATGGGCAGGAGTCAGAAGTCCTGTGGGAATCAACTTTCTCTCCCCACCAAAGCCAGGGCACTTTTTGCTGATAACCTGGTCCAAAATAACTGATTCCCTAAATATATTCCCTCCTGCTACCCCTCCTCCCTTCCAGTGAGTTCTCTTATGGAGATATAATGTAAAGGTACAGAAGGAAGAGAGTGAATCTTTGCCTTTGGAGAAAATCCAGTAGAGTTGAAAGGGCATAGGCCCTGCGCACTGTGGCATCACCAAGGGAGATCAGCCATAGTCAGGCACAGGTTTACAGACCCGAGTTAGGGACAGTGGCAGGTGAGGAGGTTCCACCTAGCTTACAGCAATGGTTCTGTGCATGCATCTCAGAAAAGGGGTTTTGAACAAAGAGAGGGGTGGAGGAGGACAGAAGTCCCAGTCCAGCAGGGGTGGTGGCCGTTGCAAGAGCTGTTGGGAGGAGAAGGTGACAATAGCCTGGGACCCTGGAGCTGGCCTTTCAGGAATGGTATCTGAACTGAGCCTCCTGGCCAGGGCGGGGCACTGGGCTGGGAGGGGGTACTCTGGGACTGCCTCTGTTCAGCAGGGGGTTTCTCGGTCACCACAGAGAGGGCTGCAGGTGGTCTTCTTTCCCCACAGGCCCACTCTTGCCCCAGCACATCTCTTATGACCTGGCAGGGGTTAAGAAGGAGTCAGGGGCATGCACAGGAGTCTGGGGTCAGGTCCTTGCCCATCCTGGCTCACTCATCCTAGGGCTGGCTACTTCTCTGGGGGACCCCTTGGAGGGTTTCCATCAGGCTGTGGGGAGAGGTCAGCTGAGGGCTGGGCCTGCCGGACCAGGTAGGAGGGCAGCAGTACCCCAGTTCCTGCCTTCAGACAACAAACAAGCCAGCAGCATGGTGTCCTGGCCAAAGGCCCTGTTGTCAGGACAGCAGTCATCACACAAGGAGGACAGAGTGAGAGTCACGTGCATCCCGCTGCTGGAGCCACTGGCTTCAGCCATCTCCCTCCCCCACCCCTTTCCCCACTGCCCAGCACAAACCACTAGCCCTGGGTGAGCAGAGCTGTGTGCATCCTCGGCATATGTGGGCAACAGCACAGCCAGGAGGAAGGCCAAAGGGGACTGCTCCCAAAGGGCCTTTGATCTCAAAAAGCGCCCTCACCCGCATTGGACAGATGCACAGACTTGACTAACAAATACAAGGATATTCAGAGAGAGGAAGGATGATGTCAGTTCTGCCCAGAGGACCTCACTAAGGCCAGAAGAGGAAGCAGAGGTATAATAGTTCCCTTAGTTTTCAGCAGCTGGATAGAATCTTAAACAGGGAAACCTGAGTCCTACTGACCAGCCAGGATGGCTGACCTTCACCCCGCCCTCCTGGACCCTTCCCTCTTGGGAAGGCTTCATCGCGTTCCCCCACAGGGGAGGGTAACGGGTCGGGATCTCTTCCTCCTGTGGTTAAGTGACAGAATCTGCAGAAACTACAACAGGAAGGATTTAGGTTGGATTCGTAGGCTGTCCATTATGAGAATGAGAACTGTGCAGCACAGGAACTGGGTAGTGAGGGGAGAGAAATTTCCATTCATCTGGGAGGGCAGGGCGATGCTAAGATGCCCTCTTGTCCTGAACTTGAGGCTCAGAGGAAACAGACCCCATCTAGCGATTTTCCCTCAGTCTGAGGCTGAGGTTCTACGCACAGGTACCTCACTCCCAGTGAACATCCTGCTCGAATCCTCGATTGCCTTTCGGGTTCAGTCCCACCGCTGCCTGCAGCCTTAAACCAAAATGGCACAAACTGCAGAGACAGTAGTGAGACCCCCAGCAGAAGCAGAGCATTTAGACCATAGCCTCGCCCCCTCACCCAGGGAAAGCATCAGAGCGGGCAGCTTTTCCAAGCTGCCCCCAAACCTGGACCCCTGGCCACAAGTGTGCGCTGGAGGGGGGCCCCAAGGCAGGCAGGCTTGGAGGCTGTGCTAGCCTAGATTGAAGAATCTGGTATTTCCTGTGGGATAGCTTATTCCTGACCTCCAGAAGAAAAACTGTTTCCCAGAGTTTTTTTGAGAGGCCTCAGCCTGGTGGGGAATTTTGAGAGGGAGGTGAGGGGGATGGGAGCAGTCACCAGAGAGCCAGGAATGCAATGAATGGTGCAGGCAGAACTAGCCCTGGGAGCGCCCCTCTTGGCCATGGAGTCTACAGATCCCCCAACCTGTTCCTCTTCCCAGTATGCGGGGAGAGGGGAGGCTGGGGGTGTGCACGGTGGGAGGGGCTGTCTGAAGCCCTGGAGGCTCTGTTCCCAGGCTGCCCTCAGTCAGCAGTGCCTCCCTAACTGAGTCCCCCTGGCATGTCTGGACAGTATGACTCAGTGCCAGATCCCCTCCTCAGGGATGGTGCCTTCTATGTCATCTCTTAGCACTCCCAGCCATAGATGGACCTTTTCTGTGCCCCGAGTTCACCTGTACCAGAGCGTGTCTCCCAAGGCCACTGCTGAAACACATGCCTGTCTCCCACCCTAGGGAGTGACCATGTCTATTATGAATGTTTCTCCTGAGCCTGGAATGCAATCACAGTACAAAAAAGAAAACTGCCATTTCGAGAATGATTAAGGCACATTTCTGTAGCAGGTGATTGGGTGGTATCCATTGAAGAGAAAATCATGAACATTTAATCAGATATAACCTACCACTGAAAAAGATAACACAGTTTCTAAAAGGAAAAAAATTCTTAATTCAGAGTTCTTCAGGCTGATTGTGTATATAATGAAAGGAGCCAGAATATTACCTCGTACATAATAGGTGCTACAAAAGTCTTGTGTTCTGAGGATGAATTTGCATGGGTTTGGAAAAAGCCTTTGTAAACTGTCCACACTGCAGGCAATTAAAAATGAATCATAAGTTGACAACAGCAACAAAATGAACCCCATTGTTAGAGTGGGAGAAATGTTTGCCAGGGAGGCAGGAAACAAGGCAGAAAGATGAAAGCACTTCTCAGAGGTGGCTCAGCCCCCTGCTCCCTGGCCAAGGCGGGGGCCACGGGGGCCTGGCACAGCCACCCTGCGGGCCTGGAGGGTGGGGCCAGCCACTACAGGAGCACCAGCCCCCCTGCAGCTCTGGGGCACATGGGGAGAGAAGGGGCACTCCCAACGGACTATTACCATGCCTCTGCTACTCTCCTTGGGGCTACACGGGAAGGTAGAATCATGTTTTGGGGAGCCTGTGGGCTATTAGGCCTATCCAAGCTAAAGGGTTCACAGAAACCCCCTGAAACCTATCAGCTGAGCATCCACCAGCCATAGGTGCACAGATACACAGGTCGGCTTGGGGGATGAGCGCACCAGAGTCAGGCCAGAAGCCAGTGACTGGTCTGGGAGTCCTGGAGGAGGTGAATCTGGATCTCATAGGAGGTAAAAGCAGGGGCTTCAGCGGAGGGGAGCAAGAAGAGCTCCAGGTCAGGGCAGCAGGGCAGGGGATACTGAGGGGGTGTGAAGGATGGGGAGACCCGCTTAGCCACCCGCACACACCTCAAACCACCTGAGTCCTTATTTCCACTGATGCCGTCACCGTGACCCACCACCCAGACACCGACACTCAGTGGTCTTCCCCTCCTTCCTCTTCTTCCCCTCTGCCCCCCAGCCTTCCAAGCTAGGCAACAGGTTCTCTTAATTCTGCCCCTGCTTCTCGAGCTGGCTCTTCCCATCTGTGCCCAGCGCTAGCTTGTTACTCGAGGCCTCAGCACCTCTCCCCCGACCTCTTCAGTAAGCTCCTGGCTTGTCTTCGGCGCAGAGTCCATCAAAACACTGACCCCAGCTTTGTGTACATTGCTTCTCATTCCAGACTTACATGGCTCCCTATTGCCCCTAGGATGGAGTTCCTGAGCATGATATGGGATAGCAAGGGGCTGTGCCTCCCTCTCCAGCCCAGCCCAGCTGCGAGCAGGCCTGCCCTTGCTGCTGCCAGTGCCCCTGCCTGGGAAGCTCATCCCCTCCCTCTTCACTGGGGGCGGGAGGGGGCTGGCCTACCTTCAAGGCCCAGATCTAGGCCCAGCTCCTTCACCTTTACCCTTTCCCTGAAGCCTGACACTCAGCGCCCTCTCCTCCTACCCCTGCAGCTTATCAAGGTACTTGGCTTGAATGCTTTTATCACTGCGAGTGTGTGTCCTCTTTCCACATCTAGTGAGAGCAGATCCAGCTCACACTTCTCAGAGTGCCCTACCCCCTGTGGTGGGTCTGCTGAAGTGGTTGCTGATAAGCCTGTAAGATGGGCTTTCTCCTGGTCGTGCATTTCACACAGGCTCTTGGAGACTTGGAGAGTGAAGCTCTGGAGAAGGGATCGTGGAAGAAAAAGGGGCTGATGATTAGAGACAAGGCACTCTCCCTACTGTGGCAAGGCGGATGGGCCCGGTTCAAGGTCTGCTTCCTCCACTGCAGTAAAAATACCAGAAACTTGGCAAGCCCAGGAGCACTACCAGTTTTCTAGCTTCTGGACAGTAAATGGTAAATAGCCATTAGCATTTTCCCTTAATAGACAATGTTTTTGGTGAGCTGATCATGAAAGGGTTCTCAGCTGCACCAATATGCTGACATACTAACAAGAATTAACTAAGAGGTCATGTAGCATAGTGATCTAAGCACCAGAATTCAACTGTCTGCATTCAAATCCCAGGTCTGTTACTGACTAGCTGTGCAACCTTCAGCAAGGTACTTAACTTCTCTGTTAGTGGGCATTGTAGTTGTTGTGAGGATTACATGAATGAAAAGTAAAATAGAACAGTATCTGGCACATACTGTTCAGTTAATGCATGCTGTTCTTATTTTTCACAGGAGAATTACAAATATTCAGACTATTTTTTAAAGTTGGATTTGGGGCTGTCTACATAATCCCCTCCCACCCACCTCCCTTGTCTCTCTCTCTCTCCTCTCCTTGTACTGGCCTTCTTTTAATCATTTCTTCATCCTCTTTGGACCTAAATTATCCTTTAATGTGGTTTCTCTGGGAGGTGACACTGATGTAGCTGGCTCCCTGGCTCGGCAGCCAGAAGATAGAACATATTCTGGGCACTCTGGGCATGAGCAGCCAGTGTCTAATGGCTCAGGTGTGTTTTTGAGACCAGGGCTGAAATCTGCTTACATTGCTTAGTTGAGTGGATTGTTTATAAGCAGCTATTGGTGGCTCTGCAGGTCCCATGCAGGTCCCAGAGCAGCTGTCTGAGCATCAGTTTCCCAGAGGCTGGGATGGCCATGGACCTCACATTGTGCAGGTCTGTGTGACGGCACATGACCCACGGATGGCAGCTGCCTATGCTGCATCCTGCCTGGAGAGATCACTACAGGGTAAGCTGGGAAATGCTCCCAGCCAAAGTTTCAGGTCAGGTTTACCAAAGGCCTTCCAGTTGGGAGGGGCCCATGGGGGTGACAGGGAAGGCTGTGGCATCCACCACCCTGGACATCTCATCCCACCATGACAACCCCCACTCTGCCCGACTGTGTGGATCCCAGGGAGGCTGAACTAGCAGAGGCAGGGGGATGGAGGAGGTGCCTTTGGGAGGACTCTGCCAATCTTGGAATACGCACACAAAAAAGTGGTGTCAACACATTAGCAAAAAATAAAACATTCTTCTCTCTCCTGGCCCATTTCCCCTTTACTCTTTCAGCATTTAGATTCAAATGCCCAGCTGTTTCAGATTTGGGTCTGAGCTGCACAGTAGAGAGAAACTTCACTGCTTCATCCCCAACGCTGAGAGGACGCTGCTCTCTTCAAATGCTTCATTCCAGATTTTAAGGGGAAGGAAGGAAGCCAGACGAGGGGCGAGGGAGGGAGTGGAGATGGGAAGGAAGAGTGGGGAGGCAGCACTGTGTCCAGAGTTTCTGATGTCTCAGCTGATCTGGATTTGGCCCTCTGCTGGGGCTGCCCTCTACCCCCTCAGGTGTATAACACCACTTCCCAGGAAACTGTATACCCTGCCCTGTCCAGAGCCACTAGCATCAGCCTCAAGCTTAAGCTAGACTCTATTCTAGTGCAAGCCCCCAGAGTCAGGAGAGGGAGGTCTGCTAGCCACGCAGCTTCCGTCCAGGCTCGGGACTTGCAAAAACATTTCAAACCAAACCGAGGGTCCAGGAAAAATACCCCTTATTCCCATCTCTTCTCTAGGTATAAACTGGCCCATCTGACAACTCCAGACTCCAACAGGCCTCAGATGGTAGGATTTAGGGCCCCTCCTCTTCTCCCTACAACCCAAGAATGTGAAATACCAGCAAACAAAAGTCTCATCCAAATTAGGAAGAGAGTGGCTCTGTCTGCCTGTGAGTGTGTACCATAGTGGCTGTGGGGGATTTTGGCTTCCCCAGCAGGTCTGTTCAAACCCACAGTGTTATCAAGACTTAAGCTGTTGTTGACCCCAAATCACACCTTGTACCATCCTGCCATTGCACACCCTTCCCCAAACCTGGAATGCTGCTGCAAGAGCAGCTCTTAGCACACAGCCCTGTTGGGCTCCAGCCCCAGGGCCCTATCTCCACGCCTGTGCACAGCACCCTCTCCATGCCAGAGCTATGGGGCATCAGCTCAGGCCCAGGTCTGCTCTGGGGAGCCACAGCTAGGGAGCCACAGGGGCACTCTGCCAGACAGATGCCAGACATGTGCCCAGACCAGACCCCTGCTTCACCCCCTAGTAATAGAGTGTGTGCCCAAGGGCCCTGAGCAGGCCACCTGTCCCATGAGTGAGGAGCAGGGCCCTTATTCCAACACAGCCTCTAGGAATCCAGAGGTGATAACCAGCCCAAGGCTCCAGGAGCTGACAGTGGTAACGGTACAGAGCCCCTCCTTCCCCAGCCTCCACCCTTGTTACCTTCTTGGGAGAGGACGATGAACTTGGTGCTCTTGAGTGTCTTTCCATTCAGTGTCCAGGTGATGGTGGCTGCGGGGTCAGAGGATACCTGGCACTGGAGTAGCAGCTTCTCACCCTCTACCACATGGACATCTTGTAGCTTCTCTTTGAAGGTTGGAGCAGTCCCTTGGCTTTCTGATCTTTTTTCATTATCTGGCACTCCTGCCTGCCCCCTCTTGAAGTTCACATCATTCTTAACCTCCTTTTTGAGTTCTCCTTTCTCAGCTGGTTTCAGGGTCTCGGCCGGCTTGGCGTGGCCCACGGGTTTCAGGGTCTCGGCCGGCTTGACGTGGCCCATGGGTTTGAGGGTCTCGGCCAGCTTGATGTGGCCCACGGGTTTCAGGGTCTCGGCTGGCTTGGTGTGGCCCACGGGTTTCAGGGTCTCGGCTGGCTTGGTGTGGCCCATGGGTTTCAGGGTCTCAGCTGGCTTGGCATTGCCGACAGGTTTCAGGGTCTCATCCAGCTTGGCATTGCTGATGGGTTTCAGGGTCTCAGCTGGTTTGGTGTTGCCGACTGGTTTCAGGGCCTCGGCTGGCTTGGTGTTGCCCATGGATTTCAGGATCTCAGATGGCTTGGCATTGCCAATGGGTTTCAGGATCTCAGCCGGCTTGGTGTTGCCCACAGGTTTCAGGAACCCTGATGGCTGGGCATTATCCACAGGCTTGGGACTTTCTGCTGCCTTGGCATTCAAGGCCTCAGCACTGTCGCTACCATTCTCTGCTGGGATTTTTTTCTTGTTGCCCAACACTGAGCGAAAATCTGGGGCAGCAGGTTTTGAAGATGGTACCTTCTCTGGCACCAGGGTCTTGGGAGCCCCCTTCTTGGCCAGAACAGAGCGGAAGTCAACCTGCTGGGGGCTATGCACCTTCCTCTCTTCCTCTGACACAGTCTTTGGCTTCACTTGCCGCTGTAGGTTGGCACGGAAATCCATCTGCTCAGCTGGGGTCTCCTTCAGGTCTTCTTCGGACACGGTCTTGGTACTCACCTTCTTCCCCAGGAGGTCACGGAAGTCCAGCTGCTCCACCGCCTGCTGGCGGATCGCCTCCTCGGTGTGCTGCCGGGTCTCCACTCGCCTCTTCAGCAGCCCCCGCACGTCCTCAGTGTCTTCTTCCTCTGAACAACCCTGCCCTTTTGCTGGCCACTCAGGCCTCAGGGTCCCGTAGGAGTCACCACCACCACCATCAGCACCAACTCGTTGGCCACAGAGGCCCTCACAGCTGGCAGGTTCCCTCCCCCTGCAACCAGTGAAGGGAAAAGGGAAAGTAGCAGGAGGAAAGGGGCTGGGTAAGAAAGAAACGTCAGGGGAGAGCAAATCCCTGAGGGAGGGAGGGGAGAGGGGAGGGGAAGAGGGGTGGGGGCTGGCCAGGCTGTGTTTATAGAAGGGAACATTGGTGAGAGGCGCCTGCTGGCTTAGTTGGTTTCTTACATTGGTAATGACTTCAGTAGCCTTATAAGGGAGCATGCAAAAAAAAAAATTCACCCCCATCTCCTCTCCTGTTCTCCCACCCTCCTTCCCCTCCTAATCTCTCCTTCTTGGCTTGGGCAGCCTCAGCTGAAGGACGCAAGCAATCTGGGGCTGCCAGGCTGGGCCTGGAGGAAGGTGGGTGGGTGGTGGCATGGGCCTGGCAGGGCAACTCCGGGCAGGGGTGCACTCACCGTGGGGGAGATCTGGCAGGTCGGCTCTGTAGCATCAGTGACACCTGACAACTGCATTCACCAACCGGGTTCCTGAAAAATGCAAAAAAAACCAAGTCAACAGGCCAAGGGCCTGCTCGACCTGGGGCTGTGGGGGTGGTGGTCGGCCCAGCAAGGAAGAACTTGGCCACAGGTTGGCTGGCTAACTCCAGGGAAGATGGGGCTATGGGCTTAGCTAGGACCTCAGCACGCTCACGGGCAACCCTCCCCTCCTTTAGTCACCCTTTATTTTCCTGGCTCTTGTTAAAAAAGGGGAAAAAAAGAAACTTTTAGACAATAGCTAAGATAGTTGTCTAGAAGTAGGAATACTTTTCTGTCAGTATATTACAAAGATAATACAATCACTCACTCACTCCATCAATGAAAGCAGAGGCAAAGACCAAATGCACGGGGTGGACCTGCTCCATCTAGCCTGTGTGGCCTGGTCAGTCTGCCCAGTTACCGTGAGTCAGACTGAGTCAGACTCCCTTAATACTCCCTCTCCTCACTGTGTCCCCCCAACTGCTACTTTCCCTTCTGTTCATGAAATAAAAACTCGCCCCAGCCCCTACTATCAGCTAATTCCTTCAGACCAGAGCATTTTGTAGGGACTCCCTACAAGGGTGGCCCCTTCTCTTCTTCCATTAAGTGGGTAGGGTCCTGGATCCTTCAGTCCTGTTAAAATTGTTCCATCTCCCCAGTGGTGTGCGACCGCTGGGGCTCCCTCTGCTCAGGGCCCCGCAGTACCAGGCTTGGGAGTTGCAGCCGCCTACCATGGGTCAGCTCTCCGCCTCACAAGGCTGCCATCTGCTGGCACTTCTGAGCTCTGACCCGCCAAGAACGTTTTGCTCAGGCTGGGGTGGTCTGGAGAGCCAAAGGTGACTCTTAATAATAACTACCAATTTTATAGAGCTTTGATCGTTTTCACACCCATTATCTTTGTTGCCCCCACAAAATCCCAGTGAAGTATAGGGCATTTTATGCCCATTTTAAAGGTAAGGAAGAGAGGCTCAGGAGTTTACGGGAGGCAGTGCTGGAACTCTAAGGTTCTGCCACTCATTCCCCTGCGTGTGGCTGTCTCACTGGCACCTCAGGGGCCTCAGATCCCACCACAGATATGCCAAGCTCTGTGGCAGGTTCCTTATGTAATCCACCTCACATAATCTTAAGACAGCCCTGTGAGATTGGGGTTGGTACCATTTTTATAGCTAAGAAAAATGAGGCTACAAAGGTTTAGTAATTTGCCCAAACTCACAGAGCTCACTGGCAGGGACAGGAGTTGGGCCCTGGGTCTAGCTGAACCCAGCACTTGTAGCCTTCCCACCCTGCCCCACAGTACTCGGCAGTACAAATCTTTGGAGGGATATGTGTGTGCTTGCGTGTATCTATGCATACTTGTCTATCAACCACGCCCATGGAGACACACATACATGGGGTCTACCTGGTATGCACCACACCTGTAGGCCCGTTTGGGAACATGAGCACAGATATGTCATCCTCACATGACAGGCATCTGAGCATGTGTCTGTGTATTTCAGCCAATGCATGTGGGTATCTACCTCACTTTGCCCGGCCTCCCTCCCAGTGGCGGGTCAGCCCTGGGTCAGATACTGGCAGCCCATGTGTGGCAGGTTATTCCTGGGAGCCCTGGGCGTTGCTGCTCACTCCCAAGCACTGGGGCCCATTTGAAGCCAGGAGAGGTTCATCTTTGCCCCAACCCTCCTCTTCATTTGTTGGGGTCCCCTTCTGGCCACCTTCCTCAATGCTCAGGGTCTAAGGGGCACAGAGTCAAGGCTCAGGGAGCCTCATGCCTGAAGAGTTTGAGAATTTTACGGTGCTTTTCTGCTCAACAAATAGTAAAGAGGCCCCTTCTGAGTACCAGGCCTTCTGAGTGCCAGGCCTGGGAAGGCAGAGAGGCCCTTGGAGCACCCTGGGCACTCTGCACAGAAGGCTTGGGCCAGCTTGCAGAATAACATGGGAGGTCATTTGGGGGTGAAGCCCAGTCCCCTGGCACCCTGCTTCTGCCAGGCTGCTGGACACTGTTAGGCCATTCTTTCAAGCCCTGAGTGTGGGGCCTAGGGCTGGCAGAATGCAGGAGGACAGGATGCCCAAGGGCTGTTTGCCGGGAGCCCCTTTCATCATTTTCTCAGATGAGTTTCCTCCTGTCACAAATAGAACACAGCCCAGATGCAAAAATCAGGAGTAGACACTGACCAGCTGGCCCTGCTTTACCCCAGACAAACCCGCCAGAAGCTTTAAATGGTAGGGCACCCTGTCCCCTGAACTGGAATATGCTTTATTTCCCCATGGGGGAGGCTGATAAGGGCTTCTGTTGTTTTCCATTACATGCCCTTGAGGAGGAGAGCACAGGTAGCCTGCTGCTCAGCCTATCCCCAGGCCTCCCCCTCGGTCACGGGGACAGCCCGAGGGGACAGACAGAAGGTGGAGGACTTGGGATACCTTGGCTCGCCCACTAAGTGGATCATCCCTTGGGATGATATGGGAGTCACTATTTCTGCAGCCATTAATTTAAGTCTGTTGGAACTTTAAGGCAAACTGTGGGCCAAGGGCACCTGCAATGGTCAGAGATGCCTGTTGTCTGGGACCTGTCGGAACAGCCTCCTGGGGCCATGCTCAGTTTCAAAGTCAGGCCTGGGCTGAGGATGAGGCCTCCAACCCATCCCCAGCCCAGGTGCTGCTAGAGATGTGGGGCTATCACCCTATAAGCTGCCCCTCTTACAAACTAGCAGAATCCTCTTTGCCCCGCCTCCTAATCCTGAATAAGGAGCCCACTCTTTGGTTATGAAGACTTGGACCCTTTCCCATTCTGAATCACCAGCCTCTGGAATGGATTTTAATATGCAAAATCAGTTCAGAGAATTAATTTTCTGGCAAGTATCAATCTTTCAAATATTTCAGCTGGAATTTGGAGCTTTTTGACATTTCCCCTTTTAGTTCAAGAGCCAAGGGCTGGGGAAGGGAAGAGGAAGTAGACACCACCCACCCAGACAGGACCTGTCCCCAATTCCTCCCGCCTCGCAGTCCAGTCTTCCTCCTTGGAAGGCATTCTGTCCTGGGTCTCGGTCTAATTTCTGCCAGGATGAGAAAAGCTGTAGAGCAGCAAGGCCTGCGGCAGGTCTGGCACATACTCCCCAGGAGAACTTTCCACTGACTTGCCCCTCAGCTGGGGACAAAGCCAAGGCCGGGGCAGCAGCCTCTGGCAGGAATGAAGAGGCTAGGCTTCGGGGAGGGAAAGGGGGCAAGGGCTACGTGGGGGACTTGAGTGCAATTTCCCAGGTTCCCCGAGTCCCCGGTGCATGTGGGAGAAACAAGAAATGGAAGATCATCTGATTTAAAGATGAGATGAGGGTTTCACTCTGGGCTCTGCTAGTTGCCCTTGGGGGGCCATGAGCAAGTCCATGACCCTGAGACCTCAGCTTCCCCCATTATTAAACAAGGAGGTGGCTAGATAACATCTGAAGTCCCTTCCAGCTGGGACAGTCTGGGGACTTTATGACTGTCCCCAGCTGGGCCCAGACAGTCTGCCTGTCGACCTCTCAATAAAACCCTCCACTCTGGCCTGGCAGACTTCCCATAGCCCTTGCTTTGCTCTTCCCTACCCTTCTTGTCAGCCCATCCAACATGTCTTCAACAGCCAAGCCTTTACTCATTTGCCAAGCCTCAGTCTGTTCTCCTCAAAACCCCACAAAAAGTTCATGTCTCCTAGGATGTCTGGCTTGATTAATGTATTGTCTCAAAGCATACACACACACTGTCTTCTCACATATGATCTGTTTCCACTATTTGTACTGGCCTAGGGGAGGAAGAGTATATTTCCTATTTTGGAGGCAGATTTCCCTTCCCAATAACTGGTTCAGGCACAAGGCAAAGGCCTTTGGTGTGTTCTGAGCATACTGTCTGATGGTGGTAGATGGCCAACCATCCCAAAACCACTTCATCAGCTGACCACAGACACGTCATTAGCTCACCTGAGATTCAGTGAGCTTTGTCCAGCTCAGCAGAACTTCCTAGAAGATCCAAAGATGCCTGAGAAATAGTAAATGGCTTAAAAAAAAGTCACTGAATAGTGGGGTAGTTTGTTATGCAGCAAAAGCTAACTGATACAAGTATAAAGCATGTGTCCAGAAAGGATCCAAGTGTATGAAGCACATACTGGGTTTTGTATCATAGGAGTACTGTTCCTACAAAGGGAAGTAGCTTTGGCATGTAGCTACAGAACCTGTCTGTAGCTCAGAGCCTTGAACATGATGAGCTCAGTACAGGGAAATGATTTATTCAGGAGAGAAAGTCCTCTGCAAAGTGGACAGGCACCTGAGCCTGGGAAGGTCTGACCATCTTCAGGATGTGGCACAAGCTTCAATTTGCAGAGTCAAGGTGCAGACAAGTGTTCTTCTTCAATGCTTACCCCCACCCTAGGGTGTGGCATTCTGTCACTATCAGCCTGGGTTGGCATGGAATTTTAGCAGAGCGCTTTTAAGGTAGAAGGATATTTCTGGATCATGTGCATTTAACAAATAGTTACTAAGTGCTGACTATGTGCCAGATACTGCTCAAGGCACTGGGAACACAGTTGTGTGCCTGCGTGGAGCTTATCTTCCCATGTAACCTAGAAACACCTTGAAAGGGAGGCAAATAAGGAACGCGGATAGTTAACGGTTTTAAAATGTCTATAAATTCTTTGATACTCCTCTCTCCAGAGGTGGAACTTAGTTTCCCTCCTCTGAATATGGGTTAAACTTTGTGACTCACTTCTAACAAACAGAGAAGTAATGGTGTAACTTCCAAGGGCAGGTCATAAAAATCACAGCAGGTCCCAGCTTGTTCTCTCTCTTGGACGACTAATCCTGGGGAAGCCAGCTGCCATGGTATGAAGACACACAAGCAGCCCTGTGGAGAGGCCCATGTCATGGCGAGGACCTGCGGCCTCCTGCCAGTGGCCCTGGGAGTGAGCTGTCTTAGAAGTGGACCCTCCTGCCTCAGTCAAGCCTTCAGAGACTGCAGCCCCTACTGACATCTTCACTGCTATCTCGTGTAAAACCTTGAGTCAGAAATATCTAGCTAGGCTGCTTAAAACTCCCAACCACAGAAACTGTGAAGTAATAACTATTGTTTTAAGCTGCTAGGTTTTGGGATAACAGTAGATAACTAAAACATTCTCTCTGTGCTGCTGCTTTCCCAGTTTTAATCCATTCTTCTGTCCTTCCTATTCTTCAGACACCAAATAATGGGGGAAGAAACCCAGTATGTGATTAGACAGAGGACTTCTGTGGAGTTGAGCTCAGAGAGAAAGGTTCTCAATCAATGTCTTGCACTGTACCGAAGTGGAAGAAACAAAGCTTGTCAGTAACACCAAGCCTGCCCTTTCTCTACCCGGGAGCCCAGCCCACAGCATTCTGTGCTTCCTCTGGCTTCCCAGTCCCAGGCAGGCACTTTGACAGGAGGTAGGAATTTGGGAAGTAGGGGTTAAAGAAGGTTGGCAGGGCTTGCGGACTCACTTGAGCAGGATCTCATACTGGCCGGCGTGCCAGGGCTGCGCGTTCTTTAGAACCAGGGTGAACACATCCTCATTCTGTAGTACCTCAAAGTGGCCAGTGTCTCTGGGCAGTGCTTTGCCGTCTCGGAGCCAGTGCACACTGGGGAAGGGGTCACCAGCGATAGCACAGGAGATGAGGACTCTCTGGCCCAGAGAGGCTGTCACTGAGCGAGGCTTGCTGATGAACCAGGGCTGGGTGCCATCCTGAGGCTCTGGAAGTCGGCAGAGGGTTGAGTTAAAGAGGGAGGCCTTCCAGCAGAGAGCGTCCACTCAGCTAAGTGGAGGTGAGAGGGCAGCATGATTCCCAAATAATAGCCTGTCTAGAAATAATGTTTATTGGATATACAGATATAGCACACTCTTCTCATGGCAAATCTGTCTTGGTTGCATTCTCAGAGGGTAACATTAACATGAATTTGTATATCCAAAGCAAGGGGAGGTAGCTCAGAAGGTACAGGGGCACTGGGCTAAGTGCTAATGAGCTTCAGGAGAGTGTAAGATCAGGCGCTGTCACTTCCCTTATGTCGGTTTAACTGGTCTCTCCTCTGAAACATAAGTTCTCTGAAGGCAAGGACCCTAATGGACCATAACTCACCTCAGGAGCTATCACTGACAAATTAAGATTTCTCTCCTAACAGAGCTTGTCACCAATAACCCAGATTGGGTAAACTCCAGAAGGCAGGGAAGGGTGGCCCTTTAAGCCAGAGTCTGCAACACAGGGTGGGGACCTGGAGTCTGGGGCTGGGATGGGACCACGGAAGCACAGGGCCCAGAGGGGGAACAGACAGGCCAACAGGGTCTCCTTGCCTCCTAGTTGCTTTTGGAGAGACCACGGCAGCACCTCTGCCCTGCCCCACCCCACCACAGGCCAGCAGGCCAAGTCACCTTGCACCGTGAGCACAGCCCGGGTGCGGGCCTCCCCAGCGCTGTTCCAGGCTTCACAGATGTAAGTGCCCGTGTCCTCCGGGAACACTTCCTGGATACAGAGGCTGTGCTGAGTGCCTCTCTGTTCAAAGTGGAAGTCCTCCGACTCCTGGATCTCATTCCCATTGTGAAGCCAGACGACTTCAGGGGGTGGGTTCCCTGAATAGAGGGGATGGGCAGAGACTGGTCAAGGAGGCGCTTCCCTAGGCCATGTGGCCACTCTGCATTTCATGCTAATACATAGTAATAAATGGTAAACTCTTTATGCTTTAGCTTCCCATCCATAAAATATTCTACCTACCTCAGAGTTTTGTTAGAGGGATAAGTAAGTTAATAAAGACCCTCTTAGCAGCCCACTAGGGTAACAGATTAGAATAGCATCTGGCACAAAAAAAGGACTTAATGCATGTGTACTATGATTATTTAATAACAGACTCTGGGAAACTAGAAAGAATCCAGAAGTGAAAAAACATGATTTTGGAGATGAAGAGGAAAACACAGCAAGAATGGTTTTTAAAATCAGAATTCAAACACTTGAAAATGCTCGGTGGTAACTGGATCGCTGGGTTTGAAGTGAAAGTGCTTCCAGCTCTGGATGACATCACACAGCATGTGCACAGCCCTGCAGTGAATGGGGTCATCACAGGAACATCCTTGCCAATTTCCACAAGGAACCTGCTGTTAGCATCTCATTTTTGCCACCACACACACGTGGTCAAGGGTGAAGATGGGCACCAGCTCATACAGGATTTCCAAACAGCTCACGATGGGCAGCATTTCCAGTTTCCACTAGTCCACTTTCCTGGGTAGTTCTGGCAATCTGCTGGGGCATCAAGCAGCAGCCACCTGTGATAGCCTTGTGTACAGCAGGAGTTAAGCCCCTTTCTCCACTTCCAGAGGAGCAAGCCTGGGAACAGCTGCACAGGGAGGCAGTGTGGTGGTGGGCCCTCAGTGGGACCACCATCTGTCTTCAATGGGCCAGCTGGCACGTGTCTGGAGACCAGGTGCAGAGTGCCTTTGATTTCTGTCAGCTGGGAGGAGTACGGATGGGGCCCACCCTCGCCTGGGACTGCCCCAGGATTGCCTCCAGCTTGTGGGAGCAGGGCATTCATCAGAGCCTCCCTAGATGGGCCAGCCCACGGTTCTTACAGCTCCTTTGGTGCTTCTGCAGCTCAAGGAACTAAAAATGCCAAAAGCAACCTCTAGGCTGTTTAGAAGGGCAGCTCGGTGGCCAGCAAGGAAAGGAAAACTCTGGACACCTCCAGGCACATCAGTAAGTCTGTGCCAGGAGACTCCCGAGCCTTCTCTTGCTGGCCTGTAGCAAGGACGGTGACATCTCACACTAGACTGCTAATCACTTGTTCTTTTGTTACCCCAGCCCTGTTTTAGAAGTGGCTCTATCTTCTCACCTTAAAATCTGAATAGAGCAACCAAGAATATCTTCCAAGAGTCAAGAAGTTCTCACATCATCTGGTTGTGTACAAGTACTCAAAATCTTCCAGTTACATTGCCATGCTATGTTTTCGCATTAATCCCTCACCCCACCAGCCAGGGCCCTCTTCTTCCCCTGGACCACTTAACCTTGAATCCAGAAAATCCTGCTAGAGAAAGCAGAAAAGGGGGACCAAGAGGTTTCACTTCTTGGGTGCACTGGTGGTCCCAGGCTGATTGGCGGCTCAGTGATCTGAGTGGGATGTCGGGAAGCAATGGTCACACAGCAACCATGCCCGTTTTCACATGCCCCGAGGAGAGAAATACAGGGACAGACCTGACAGCTGGACTGTCATGGTGACCTGGCTTCCGTCCATGACTCTGAGATCAGAGAGGCCCTGTAGGAACGTGGGTGCCACGGGCTTGCTGGGAGATGCAGGCAGAAAGTACTTGCCCTTCCCGTCACTCTTCTTTTCTGTTGACGGAAACAGAAAGAGGGATGAACATTCACTCATTCCACAAACACAGACTAAATTGCACTTGGCACACAACTGTGAGGCTGAGGGTCCCACCAGCCCCTGCTAACAGTCTGGGAGGCACCAGAGATCACTAGGAACAGGGCCTGCCTTCGTCTCCCCGTGGCCGGCCAGTGCTCATGCCTGACAGCAGGGAAAGCTGTGGGCTCTGCAGGGCCGTGGCCAATCTAGGATCTGGTTCCTCAGCAGAACTTCAAGGTGGGGTGGGGGGAACCAACAGTCGGCATTGAATGAGATTTTACTTCTTAAATTTTATTGACTTTTTGGAGACATTCACATGGCCCCAAATTCAAAAGGTACCAGAGTTTGTACACAGTCTCCTTTCCACCCTGTCCTCCGGCCATCAAGCGTCTCTGCCCAGGGGTAACCAAGTTGCAGTTTCTTATTCATCTTGCCAGAGATGGTCTACGTGTAGGACACACAGCAAATGGGTATGCTCTTCTACTGCCTTCTCTTAAGTGATAGCACACAATGATTGGCATCTGCTTTTTCATTTAACAGTGTATCTCTATGTCTCTGACAAAACAGAAGGACTTCCTCATGTTTGCTATGCCTGCATGATGCTGCATTGCCATCTCATGAGATTTTAAGCACCTCAAGAAAGCCAGATACTACACTCATTAGAATGACTAAAATGAAAGCGACTGATTGTCCCAAGTAGTGGTGTTGGTGAGGATGTGGAGCAACGGGAACCGTGCCACTGCTGGTAGGAGAGTAAAATGGCAGAGACCCCTTTTGAAAATGGTTTGGCAGTTTCTTAAAAAGTTAAACGTATGTTTGCCATATGATCCAGTCACTCCACTCCTGGGTATTTACACACAGGAGAAATGAAAACACATCACCCACACAAAGACTTGTATACACACATTCACATCAGCTGTGTTCCTAATGGCCCCAAACTGAAAACAAACATCCATCAAAAAGTGAATGGATAAACCAATTGTGATATACCCAATACAATGGATTACCACTTACTCAGCCATAAAAAGAAATGGACTAAGGATAGACATCACAACAGGGACAAAGCTCACAAAAATTACACTGAATTAAAGAAGCCAGACAAAGCAAGAGTGCATACTAGATGGGTCCATGTATATAAAATTCCAGAAAATGCAAAATACAGCAACAGAAAGCAGATCAGTGATTGCCTGGGGCACGAGGTGGGGCACAAGGAAGCATTTGTGGGTGATGGATATGTTCATTGACATTTTCATGGGTGAAGTTTTCAAATTAAACTTTGTCAAGTATATACAGTTTATTGTACATCAATGTTACCTCAATAATGATGAGGGGAAAAAAAATCTCTCTGGGAAAGGGAGGGAAGGCACCAGCTAGTCAAAGACAAAAACTAGAACAACTGTCTGGGTTCAGACTGGCTCACTCATCCACATTCAATTCTCTGGGGAGATGGGTAAATAGACTTTCCATTATTCTCGGAACCCTCCCCAAGCTGGGTTTTGACCTGCCTTACATGAGCCGAAGGGGAGCCAGTGTCTGTTTCCCATAGGACAGCCTTGGTGCAGGATGAACTCAAAGCTGCGCAGTCTCTGATCTTGCCCTTGTCCTGCGAGCTAAATACTCCATTTCTTTTTATGGCTGAGTAAGTAGTACTTGTCCTGGCTTTGACCTTCAGTAATTCTGTTAGCTTTTTTGTTTTTACCTTTTGGCAGGGCAGGGGTAGGGATGGAGAGGGATGTGCATCGCTAACTTTAAATGCTATGTTTTGGGGGAAAAGGACACTGGTGTTTCAGGTTCTTGGCAGAGAACCATAAATATTAGCTCTTCTCCAGGAAGCCTGTAGCCAGAGGGATACATTTCCAGAGTGCTTTACATACCTTGCAAAGGCCTAACCAAATCTGTCACTGCATTTTTATGTCGGCACTGAAAACAAAATTGGGTCACTGCACAGCCCTCCCAGCACAGCCTCTGGGGGAGAGGGTGGGAGAGGCAGAGAAGCCCTGGAGCCTGGAGGAACTTCCCCCAAGGCAGGTACAGTGTGAAGGGCATGGAGTGGGAGTGAAAGGGCAGGGGAGGCAGGGGAGCCCCCTGGTCCATGACTGGAGGATGGGTTCTCAGGCCCCCACATCTCCGGCACCCCAACCCCCCACGTGGCTGCCTCTGCCAGAGATGCAGCAGCCTGGGCCTTGGCAGAAGGCCCCGGGAGTGGGCTTGGGGACCTGGGGCTGGAAATGCAGGGCTCTCGGGTCCCTGACTGGGCTGCAGTGGCCAGGCTGCCTCAGGAGAGCTGAGGAATTTCCTGTCCCGCACAGACTGAGGCGGCTTGAGGACAAAATGTTTTGCCTGCCCAGAGTTTCCCCTGCTCCCGCCTCGCCTGTCTGCTATCTCTGACAGCCCCCAGCCTCGCAGAGGTCTGCATGGACGCGCTCTCGTTCCCAGGTGCTGCGGAAACATAAAAAACCCCTCTCCCTTCAGCGGGGCTGGCTCCCCTGGGTCCCCCAACCCTTCTCAGGTCTTCCCATTGCCCACTTTCCTGGGGCTTTGCCTCCCATTGCCGGCTTTCCTGGGGCTTCAGCAAAGCCGCGTCAGACGCCCTCCGGGCCTTGGCCTGCTGGACTACAAGCACATCTGTCCCTCCCTCTACCGGGAGCTGGCCTGGCCCAGCTCCGTGTGGCAGCCCACTGGTTCCCTGAAAGCCCTGAAATGTGGCGCCCTGGCCGGAGGGTGGGGTGTGGGTGTGGGTAGTGGGGTGGGGGCAAGTTACTGCCTCTCTCTGAAGCTCAACTTTCTCCTCTGTGTTAAGGATGATAACAGCATCATCACAGGACTTGGGGGTTTTATAGAGATACCGAGTGACCACTGTAGCCTGCTCACCATCAGTGATAACACCTGTGGGATGGTGACGCTCATATAATCACTTGGGCCCAATTACTTGGTGGGTTACCAGCAGCAAAGGAACAGAGCCTGGGCCCTCAGCCAAGCAGTGCAGGCTCCTTTTCATGTGCCCTCAGGTAAATACCGCAGGCATACACAAGGGTTGCTTAAAAATGTCATGGGTTATATCTAAAGTAAGTGGAGAACAAACTTCCGCTGCACTCCCTCCAGGAGCGACGAGTGAGGAGGAGAGCTTTGTGGGAGCCGGCCCTGGTGCAGGCCCCTAGTTCCCAGGCCACCAAGTCTGCCCAGGACCCTGTTCTTTCCTCTCCAGAGCCCACAGCAAGAACAGATGGCAGAGGAACATGACTGGGAGTAAATGTGCAGAATGAACCTGTGCTCAGACTGCAGTCTGGGGTCACGTGGGACTGGAGTGACCGAATCCAGGCCTGTGAATGGCTGAGTCATACCCAGCATTCAACTGCCCCAAATTCTTCAGGGGGTGCGAAAACCAATCAACCATCTCTACAAACACACTCTGCCTTGGGATTAGGAGCCAGTGAGTTAAGGGCAATTAGCTTTCTTTAGGCAGCCCGAGAGAAGCAGCCCTAACTAGAATGCTGAAACCCCAGTCCCAACTCCAGGACCCCACTTTCCAGATGGAGAGGCCAGGATGTGCTCAGAGGAAGTGACTTTGTCCTCAGTGCCAAAGGCACCTTGAGAACCTGAGCCTTCTTCATCTGGGGAGGGCAGGCCCTGGCTGTGGCCCACAGGTAGCAAGGGAGGGGTCCCTGAGAGCCAGTGGCAGACCTGCCACCCAGCTCAGATGGGGCCAGATTAAATACACCCCAGGTTTTCCCCTACAGCTGTGCTACCCACTGCTCTGCTGGGACCCGGTCCAGAGAGGGCTTTCTCTCTAGAATCCAGCGAGGGCCCAGCCTCCTTGATCTGCTGACCTAGAATTGAAGATTTAAAGTGAACCTATCTGTTGCTCTGGTACTTGGTCAGCTGGCCAGCGACTCTCCCTCCACCATGAACCTGAGTAGCTCACCACTGGGTACACTGTTCTACTTTGAGAGGAAGGGAAAGGATCAGGGTCCTGGAGTCCCAGCTGGAAGTACACGGCCTGGGGCAGTTGCAGGTTCCTCTTGCTACTTAATAGTGACTTGACCCTCTCAACATCAGTTTTCTTCACTTGGAAAATGGAGTTAATTCAAAAGTGAGAAGTAGGCGACTTGTTATGGGAATTAAATAAAACAAAACAGCTTTTCTGACTGATTAGATTTTTCTGTCAAAACAATGTTCCCCATTAAAAAACACTCACACGAACTGGTGTTAACCCAGTATTATATTTTGAAAAGCTTTTATTCAGAGAGTTAAATACCCACACAACAGGTGCACTTTGTTACCTTTCCCATGAATTCTTATACAAAACCTGTGTAGCCTGTTCCTCAAACTTAAGAGATGTGAACACACGGACCCTTAGCTTTTCTTGGGCTTGAAATCAAGAATCCCCAGTATAGCCTTTGTCCCAGTGCAAGCTGAGATCACAGCTCTCCCTCCATGGACTATGATCCTCCTGTTTTTCCTTTTGGAGTCCTTCCTTTCCTTTCTACAGGTTTAGCAGGAAAAATAATTCTGAATTTTCCTCAGAAGCATTTTCTCCACCTTTCTATTGTTACCAGCCAACTTGCCACTCTCTGAAGCTCCATGTTTATGGATCTGAATTTGCATTAAATGCATGTTTATGCATTGAGCAGTTTGCCTTGAAAATGGCTGTTTGCAGGCTCCCAGCTCATTAAAAACTTGTTTCAGATTAAACCAGAAAACTATGGAATGTTATATTAAAGTTGTTTCAACACATGACACAAAAATATAAACCAGAGACAGTGTTGGTATGAAACACTCTACCACCTAAGGAGCTCCCCAGGGTTCTCCCCTCAGAGGGGTCCCTGCCTGGTGCTGCCATAGCCATTCACTAGGTCCTGCTCTCAGAGCATCCCTCGGCCCTTGGCTTACCAGGAGTGCAGGGGAACGGACCACCCCTACTTCTTAACACCCCTTTGCCAACACCTCTCACACACACAGACTTACAGAGCTCTTGAAA